TCCATGTAAATTTATATAGCTATGTAGTGTATTTAGCCTCAACAGAACGAAATGCACAAAATGGAAAACCGTCGGCATTGCTCCAAAGTCAGCAAAACTCCTGCTTCTTAAGCTATCGGTGTTCTATCTAAATTCGCAAGTAGAGTTAGAGTTAGTTTCGAAAATTAAACTAGTGCCGGACTAACGAAAAACGCTTCCACCTATTTACAAATTTTTATTATCGCCATACAACTTCCAATTGTTCATACATTTGTTATAACCATTGGCTGAGATCTTTAGTGCTTTCACTGAATGACTTTTATTGGCTTCAGCTGACTCATGGTCGGTTCACTAAAGCGGACTATTTCGAAAAGCAGAAAAAATGTGCATGGAGCCAAATCTGTCGAATCCAGTGACTCAATCATGACACTCGTTTCGTGTTTGGCCAAAATAGTTGATTCAACATCATTGAATGTGATTCCAGGTATCTTCGTCGTGCTAGACGCTTCATACCCAAAACATTACTCAAAATGTGTTGAATCACATAACCAAAATAGTTGTTGACAACGTAAACACTACTATTAGAAATAAGTAGATTTGTGTGATGAAAGTAATTACAAGCAAATTGATATTAGGAATAGCAATAGGTCTTGCTGTCATCGATTGCGTTCTCTTGTAAAAGTTTGTTGTCGCCTTTGTTCGATTAGAATGCACTCCTTAGAAGCTAGCATTGAGCTTCAGCTATCATTCGATGCAAAAATATAMTAATTTTACTTTCATTAACTAAAGGATTTTCTTTGTTTTTCGGATGGGTTTACATATTTTAGTATTTTTGAGCTTCAACAACAAGTCTACGAGCTCGCCTATTTCACTAGTGCACCTTTTCGTGTTCCATAATTTTGCAAAGAAGAATTATTGCCTCCTTAGAAGAAATGTACTCATTCTCACGCTGCAAGTGCCTGTATTCATCCACCTACACTTTTTTAAGTATGAGGGAGTGCAAAAACGAGACTACATTACATATAAATACATAATGGTCATATCATTTAATTACGCTTTCAATCAAGTAATTAGTACCCACAAATGCTTTATAAAATATTCAAATAGTATGAGCAGCCTAGTATTCGCAGTGTTCGTGTAGCATTTCTTCGAAGCCATCTACCAAGAACTCTATACATACTATACCATACATACATATGTACAAGTACACTTGCATATGTAAAGCATTGTGATTTGCATGCGAGTACATGCCTTTTCCTCGCCCAATAGTAATCGCCGTGYTGTCTGCCGTGCATAAGTTGCACTTCGGAATCGAAATGGACTGTAAATGAATTTACAAAATAACAAATATTTAATTAGGAAATGCGCCGCCCAACCTCTTCGCAGCCCGYGTATGGAAAGTTGTTGACAATTTGATAATTTCGTAAATATTTTCTTGCACTCTAATGTAGAACAAAGAGATTGTCGATGGAGCTTGTAGGGTGGCTATAGGAATGCAGCCGATGAGCTGAGTGATAAGATACATAATTTTATCAGGAGTACTTTTGTATTACCTTTGAGGAAAAATAATATTCTGTCAGGAACGTTCTATCTTTTTAATCTTTTATATTAGCAGTTAGACTAATCCAGCGTTCTAAGCGTACTTTGCAAGCGAATGTGAGGGTTTTTTGTCAATATTCTGATTTATAGAGAAATATATGGATCATCTCTTTCATTCACACGCTTTATATTTCATCAGACTCAGCAATATGGATCACTTTTTTTGTTAAAGAGTTTATGCTTATGGCACTTTGGCGTCTATAAACAAAGATTTTGTGGGAGCATGAGCATCTCGTTAAGTTTAATCTAGAGATATAGGTACATTAGTGATCGCCCAGTTTTCGGGCCGGCCACGACTATTGGAAAGCTTCAGTCTACAATTTCGCGCCAATAGTTCTTAATTTTTTTTATGAGTCCCGTTGGTCGCTCCCTTTTTTTGCCTTGCTGTATTCAGCCGTAATTATATTAACCTAACATAAGCTAAGGGTAAATATTCGAAACCTTTTATATAACTTCCTGCTGATATAGCCTCTATATAAATACATACATATGTACTTATTTATGTTTTTTTTTTTTGTTATTTTCTCAATAATAGTATGCTTGTGTGTGCTTGCTCGAGCACCCGGCACAAACATGTGTTCTGGGCATTTTGTATGTGGAGCGTGATCAGCAATTGCCGCTATCAATGGCTTCAAATGTCAACCAGCAACTTTTGCATTTAATCAGATTCTAGCGACAGTTACTTATGTATATATATTTCTCCTTATGCCTGCATGTCAATTCACAAAAAAAAATGATAACAAATAAATACAATAATTACTATGTCGTCTTGTCATTGCCGTTGCTCGCTTTGACATATGCCGGGTTGCTCCTGCCGAAGTTGTTAGTGCTAGTGTTGACATTGTGGGCAACAAAAAGCAAAACAGGAGCAGTATTTTGCTCTGAAAGCTACAAGTCTCGCTTATCAGTTTGCTTCTGTTTTAATTCATTTAATTTCACAAGAGTTGGAAATTAAAAATTGAAAAAAAAAATTGAAATTAAACTCATTCCTACTTAGTAATATCATTGCTTTTCACTCAACTGATCGTTTTGCTATAAAAGTACATATGCACGCAGGGACATATGTACATATGTATGTACAGAGATGTACAGGTTCACTTTTATACAAAGTGTAACTGACGTTTTGGCCAGGCTCTCTTATGACGCTTTTGTTGCCAAGCGCTCTTACAACTTGAATTCTATAGGGGGAGTCACAAACATTATTTTGTGCAACTATGTTTTTTTTTTTTGCTAGGGGCATTTGCAATGTACATATTTCCAGAAGTGGGGTTTATTTTAATAGAAAACCCAGAAGTTTCGTAAAATTGTAAAATTTGCTATTAGTAAGTTTTTGAATTATCCGCGTGGTTGGTCTAGAATAAAGGCAGTATAAAATTCACCGCTTGCTATAGTTTGTAGCTGGAAGGGAATCGCAGAATATATGACCGGTACTTAAAATTTGTTGGCTTGAGGTTTTAAGAAAGGCTATTATCTAAACCCATTGCAGCGCCTAGTACCTTAATTTTTGACGCCTGCAAATCTCTGTACAATACTTACTACATACATAACAGCGATTTCACAGTTTCTAGGGATTACTGCAACAAATGAAATACTTTTTTATTCCCTTTAAAAACATTCATCTCCTCAGATTGTTGCATACTTCTATACTCATATGACGTAGAYAAAGTGAAATAAACAAATCTGCCTTCTACTAGTACGAACTGAATTATACCAGACTATTAGTAGACTGCCCATTAAATATTTCATTTTACTAATACTTGAAATATTTACTTAATCATCTGCAAAAAATTKAGATTTAATTACGAGATATCACTTGTCTTAATCACTTTTCGTTTTCCTAGTGAAACTTTAATTTTATACAGATAATGTTTTAAACACAAGTGTTGGAATACCTCAACGCGCAAAAATACAAAAAATTAAAAAGATACAAAATAACATAGTAGAATTTACACAAAAACAAAACAATGTGTGTTTGTGTATTTACATTTGTATGTATGTGTAATCGAATTATTTCATTCGCCAACGACTCAATTCATTGGTGGCTTCAATCTTTGCTGTTGCCAGTAATTTATATCAATTGACCTATTGCCATAATATGCAACTGACCGGGCCAAAGCAGACAAAAGGAAATGTTATGAAGACAATAAGGAATACACATAACTCTGAGTAATACTAATAAAATGTGTATGTGTGTATGCGAGATGGATGTCTTGTGTATCATACTTGTAGTTAGTGCTCTGATATTKGTGAATGCGCTAAGTAGGCTGGCATATGAAATCTAATTAATTACATTTAAGCAGCGTAACTAAATCGAGATCGTAAATAAAACAATACAATGGTAATGAGACGAGTTGTACATGGAAATTAGTTGAATATTGTATGTATGAATTTAAGTACACAAGAATAATGGGTGACTCAATGAGTTTTGTGTAATTTTTTTATTCGTCGAAATATCTTCACAAAATTAGACACAGATCATTGTGAAAGACAAAGCTACAATTTCCTAACCATTTTTTCAGTTCAGAGCACAGAGATAAAAAATCAGGATACATATATTATATTTGTATGCCCTTTTATGCTATAAGAAATGCACCTATGAATAATATTGTAGCCTCGGTGCAGCTGAAGTTATMATTTTTTCTAGTTTTCCTGTTATTTCGACAAAAGTCTTTAAAACTCG